GAAACACTCCATAAATACAAAAACTCAAGACCAGCTACCCTAAAAAAGTTCAAAAACAAGACAAACATAGCACCCTTCATAACACATCTGCAAAACATACAACCTAGAACATATAACTCTCACACCCCAACCCCCAACCCCCCCCCCCCCCCCCCCCCCCCCCCCCCCGAAACAGACACATCCCTAACCAAAATATTCAGCAAGCAAAACAAACTCACAAACATAGAAAAAGGAACAATATCACTCAAATATATCCATGACAACTGGCCGGAACATACACACATCTATACAGATGCATCATATAACAGTAATAACAAAAAAACAGGGCTGGGTATCCATATAACACAACCCACACAAAGCACAAAGAAATACCAATATGCAAACTACTCACATACAAACACAGCAGAGCTATTAGCCATTCTACAAGCTTACAGCCATGCAGAAACATCAAACCATAACAAAAACATCATTATTTCTGACTCATTAAACTCAATAAAACAAATAGCAGACAAATTCTCTAAATCCAGACCCGACTTAATCAAACAAATAATAAATACCCACACAAAACTCAAAACAGCTAACAAAACAATAACACTAGTATGGATACCCAGCCATACAGGCATACCAGGAAACGAAATTGCAGATCAAACAGCAAAAATAGCTACAACTGACCAAATACCCATTTTACAATTTCATACAAGCAAAACCGAAACAAAAACACTAATAAAACACAATATAATACAACAAAAATGGATCAAAACACTATTCATCAAACCAACAACAAAATGCAAAAACTACACAAACTCCATCCTAGCAGACAAAATCATAAACAGAATACAAAGCAACCAAACTAACTTAAATGCAACACTATACAAGCAAAACAGACATACAAGCCCAAACTGCATCCACTGCAATACCATAGAAGACATAAAACACATATTCACCACCTGCAGCAAATATAAACAACAACAGTTAACACTATACAACTCTCTCCCACCCAAATACAATAACAATATTACGATGCTATTTAAACCCGACAATCCACCAGCCACCTACCTACAAATAGCCACCTTTCTCAAGGACACCATCGCTCAGCGCGCACGTGTCCTTCCTTGCTCCCCAAGCTCATTACCACAATGAGAGACATCGCTATGTCACTACCCAGGGAGCTTGTCTCCATCCTGGAGCCACTACTGGCTTTCCGGGTCGGGGACTACTCCCTCAACACCTCGTACCAGACCAACACCACCACGCTCTCCATCTCCTTCGACCGAGGTCAAAGCGTGGGAAGGCACGGCGTCGGCTGGCGAGCTGGAGTGGCGAGGAAGCTACTGTTTGTGCCCAGCCAGGAGCCTCCTGGCTAGGTCGAGCTCTCCAGGAGGAAGAGCTCTAAACTCAAACCGCTCCTGTCCCCAGAACTGCACCAGCACCAAGGGAGGGCGTGGGCGGTTGCTGGGATACAGACTGCCGTTGTCATGCCGGTAGCAGGGGTTAGGGAGGACCTCGTGCTGTTCCAGGATGTGCTGTGCCTGTTGTGCAAGGAGGAGACGGTCGTCAACCTCACTCTCTTGTTCCGGGACTGGGTCAGTCTGGACTTGGCTGGAGTTGAGGGACGGGCCTGGTGGTGTGGCGGTCTGGGTCTCCGAGTTCCTGCTTGGTGGTGATGGAAGAGGGGGAGAGTTGGGGGAGAAGATGCTTTTTATCTTTCTCTTCTTTCTTCCGTGTCCTGTCCCTTCCGGCGTGCGAAAGGGCTCCTCCCCTCTGGATTCGAGGGGAGCGGGTTCCAGTGCCGCTGAAGGGGGTGGAGGGGTGGTGGGAAGGCTCTCCTGGATCTCCATGGGGGCGACTGGTGGAGCCTTCTTCACTGTGGGCGGCCTGGCCGTCTGTACCGGGCGTGGTGCAGCAGGGGTAGGGGCCGGGGTCTTTTTCTCCTTAGGCTTGGTCTTGGCCGGAGCTTTGACCAGAGGCCTTTTCCTTTGACCTAAGTCGAAGGAGATGGAGAGGGTGGAGGAGTTGGACTTGTACGAAGTCCGTAGGGAGTAGTCCCCGACCCTGTAAGCCAGCAAGGGCTCCAGGATGGCGACTAGCTCCCTAGGTAGAGATAGAGCGATATCCCTCATGGTGATAGCTTGGGTTGCGAGCAAGGAAGGACACGTCTGCACGGGGCGAGTTCGTTTAATGGTTTTACGACCGCTTCAGCCGTCGGCTATTTCGCAGTCGGGGAAGGTGGGGAATAAATGATGAATAATATAATAATAAAGATAATCACCATTCCCAAAAAACTATAAAGGGAGGGGAGAAACCTATAGAGAGTTGGGAGAGAGATAGAGTTTAACTTATCAGCTAAGGTTATCCTAATAGTGTAAAGCATAGCAGGGCGAGAGTAGCAGTTTGGCTGCTATTTAGTAATAAGGGTTTTATTAAATAAGGAAAAAAGGGTTAAAGCCTAGCGTAAGTCTATATCCGCTGGGGTGGGGGGTGGGTGAGGGACGGTAGTATAGCTTGGTGATCCGTGTGCTGTAGCATTGTTATATGGGCTTGGGGTGTTGGTGACTTATGGCTGGGTAATTGGAGAGTCTGTTATGTAGTATGGGTGATCCGGGTTTTGGCGCGGACGTCGGAGAAGTAGGTTAGAAGTAGGTGATTTGGATCTCGATCCTGTATTGGATGTTGGGAGAAGGATATGGCACTAAGTACAGGGGGGTGGGGGGCGGCGATGGGCAAGGGTCAAGTGTTTTAGGTTATAGCAACCAGTGAGCCTGTTAGTAAGTATTTAGCTATGGTAAAATCCTGTCCTAGTAGAGGGTGATTGGTTTTTTTAATGAAGTGGGCAGTGCTGTTTATTATAAATTGGGGGGTAAGTTGGATGCCCTGGTCCTGAATGTCAGTGAGAAATGAGTTGAGGTCCTGAATGCTGAGTATTTCGTGTTCAAATCTTTCTTGTTCTAAATACTGGATCATAGTGAAATTAAGGCGTTTGTGGGTTCTTTTGTAGATGCGGATACCAGGGGCTTGGAGCATTAGTGGTGAGGGGAGAAGATAGTGATCATTTAAGATTTTGTCAGCATGTGCGTTTAAGTCCAGGACAGTTTGGTTTTCAGTAGAGGGGGGCTTTGGTTGGGGGTCGGTTTGCGTGGGAGTATGGATTTGATCGGGGGGCCTCCTGGGGGAAGTATGAGAATCTTTAGTGGTGGTTTTTGGGGGGAGTGGGGGGTTGGGAGTGGAGAGAGTTTGGGTAGTTTGGTCTAAACGGGGGGTAGGGGAGGGAGGACTTTGATTAGTTTGGGTAGAGTGGTCTAGATGGGGTGGCTGGGTTGGGGTGCTTATGCGTTTTCTTTTTTTGTCCTGAGAGGGGACATCCATGGGGGTGGGCGTGGACAAAGGGGAGGGGGATAAGCTTGGTATAAGGGGTTGGGGAGTGACAGTAGAAGGGCTAGTAGGTTGAGAGTTGCTGGCGGTATGGGGAGTTGGTGGTAAAGAGTCATTGGTTACATCCCTTGGAGCTGGCATTTGGGCTTGGGGGGAGAGTGGCTGTTGAGCGTTTGCTGGTGTGGGGTAACGACGAGGCAGTTGTGAGGGGGGCTGGGCCCTGGATGTTTTGGGCTGGCGTAGGTCAAAGGTGATGACTAAGGCCTTGGTTCCCCCCGTAAGATCAGCGTTGAGGGAGAAGTGGGACACCCTATAAGCGAGGAGCGGGGTAAAAATTCCCACTAGGTCCCTGGGGAGGGACTTGTTGATAGATCTGACCGTGTGGGTCATAGTGAGATTCCCAGGTGTGGCACAGTAATTCCAGTAGGGACACAGTAATCCGTAGGAATATAAGCACAGGGTAATCCAAGGTGTATTCCGAGGTGTAATTCCGTTAAAGAATCTGGCATAGATCCGGACGAGAATCTGTAAAAGATCCGATACGACTAACGACGACGACGCCAGACCACACGAGGACTGTGACACCACGACCACACCATCAACGAACGAACGACCAACGACGACGACGACGACGACGACGGCACGGGGCGAGTGTCGAAGTAACTCCTACATTTACAGCAAAACTCTAGATTCGGATCGGGATCGAAATTCTCAGCGCGGACTGTCTTCTACGACGTCCGCGCCTCAAAATTCTACAGCGGATTGTCTACAATGACGTCCGCGCCTCCAACCCGTAGCGCGGATTGTCTACTCCGACGTCCGCGCCACAAACCCACCTATCCATCCATAGAAACAATATAGCCGTTTAACCAGCCACCCACCCATAGCCAACAACAACAAGCCCACTGCCAATCACGCCGACACACAGCCTTGCCCCCACCACCCACGCTAGGCCCCTGCTTTTAACTTAGGTTACTTACTCATATCCACTACCCTTTCCCCCTTATAAATTATTTTATTTTATTTTATTTTATTTTATTAGTAGTAGTTACACATCAGCTTAAGTGATTACTTCTGTCACTCTACCTATCCTAGTTATTACACCCCAATAAAACTTGGTTAATGTAGGACTTTTTATCCCTCCTCGGCTCTCTATGGCCACTAAAACCTCAACCTCTCTTCTCATTACTTTATCCCCCCTCACTTACATTTTTTTGGGCTAGACGTTTATTATTTATAAGAACCGTCTGCCCCGAGTGCGAAATAGCCAGAGGTTGAAGCGCTCGTAAAATCTCCAAATATCTATCTATCTATTGAGCTTGAAGTGACTGAGTTGGGTTCAGCGCCGTTTTGAACTGTATTCCTGTATGCCACTGATGCAGGTCTTAGGTTTTTATAACGTGGTAGAGCGTCCGCCCGGAGAGCGGAAGGTCCGGGGTTCGATCCCCGGCCGCGTTCATTCTCGAGCAGTAGCTTACAACATGGTGCCAGGGCTGAGATTAGTTTGATTACTGTGAGTTATCCCACTTGACATGAAAGGCTGCTATCTTGAAGTACCTGTTGACCTTGATGATACAGTAAGGTTTATTGCAATATAAATAACGAGTTCAACTGTATATATCAATTTTCAGACGGGGATACGGAATGCTTTGAAAACAGACTAGAAGACGTCAACACCACGTTATGTTCTCTGATCAACCAGTCCATCAATGTAATCAATGCTGCACCAGCTGTCTGCCCTGCGCGTAAGTACATTGAGAAAGTGAATATTCTGTAACGCCGCACTTACCAATATTCCATCTGTATGATGGCGGCCTGTAACTTGTCTTGTCATTATCTCATCCATCACTTTTACATCATGACGTATTTTACTTGTATCACATGTACTTGTATCGCTTCACAGCTGTGCGCGAACTTCATTTTTTTCTTTTCAATCTGATATGAAAACATTTTGCATAATGTTAATATTGTCTATTGTAGTACCTGTATTGTATTTATGTAGAGACCAGAGGATTTCCATTATATGTCTTTGTGAGGTGACTTCTTGACTTCCAATTCATGTGGTGGAGCAATTCACCTTCTGTCGAAATAACAGGTGCTGCTGCGCATGTGCATACCCTATTTGGCAAATGGGTAATAATTATTTATATAACATATCTCTTCACTCACCCATTCAACACCCTCCCCTCAAATCATTTGGGGTTTTCAAAAGTCTACTTAGTTTCATCAAGAATTGGGTTAGACAAAATCATTAAATCCTGATATATTGACACCTGTCAATGATTTGCCACACCCAGATAGTCTTCGAAACCAATTGCTTTTGTCAGTACTATACGACCAAAACAGGTATTATCAATCCTGAATTAGGAAAAAACTATCGAAAGAAGAAATTATGAATATGGTCTTATTAAAATATTTACAATGATGTTTCACAGACGAAGGATGCGCGGCTCTGGTTGCGGGATGCAATTCTTCTGTCATTGCTGTGGTCGACCCAGTTGGGACTATCCTGTCAAGTATAGACACACTTGCAGATGTCAGCGCTCTTACAGTTTACGGATCCAATGGCTCGTATTACACCATCTGCTACATTAGTAATGACCCTTTCGTCGTAAGATGCTTGCTCCTTCCTAGTGGGGAAACAAGAGTTATCCTTGATATCGGTACGTCATATTGCTGTTATTATCAAACAAATAAGAGATTAACTAAAACTTCAGATATCCGACCACGTGTCCAGATCATCCTCAGTTTCATCCCCTTGTCACGGCGTGTGGCTCCAATAATTGGCGTGGCACATTGTACCTATGTCGGGAATCGTACCCGTGATGTTTGGACTACCACTATCAACCGTATAGCAGTGTATATATACTATGCATGCTATTAAAAGTTACTTCTATTAACATAATATGTATTTGTTTTCTTTCTTTCTCTCTCGCCTAGATTTAACCTCAGTTTATGGAGAAGGGACTGGCATAGCTTATTGTGACGGTTTGGTTTACGTGGCCTTTGACTTACCTGAACCTCAACAAGATGGTCTTCTGTCAGTCAGTACAGAAGGACCCCCGTTCTCCGTCCTTCCTGTTGTCGATATCTCCTGCAATGCAGGCACAGTCAGAGCGTTTAACGGGTTGGTAACAGCTTTGTTTATGTATTCTACCCAAAGATATAATGCTAAGGTTTACATTATTTTCTTGGATGGAAAAATTTTCCCGGAACATTTCAACCTGTTCACTGACACAACCAGCCCCTCGATCATACATAGCATGCATGGGGGTACTGCAGTGTTCGCCATTACACTTGTAGGACGTCACATCATGAGATTTCTTAGCCTCTCCACAATAAATGGGGTTGACGGAGGGGATTGATTAATGTTTCGCGAAAATGCTGGAAGTTATATTTTGATTAGTTTTCCACAAAAACGTACGTGTTCACTGGACATGTTGGCTGTCTAGGTTTGATGTTCAGATTGATGACGTCATGACAATATTTTTTGTTTGTTTCAGGCGAGTGTATTTCGTCAATTGCAAGACAATCGAATCCGTCAACAAGACAGGTGGAGATTTGCAAATCGAGATGATCTTTTCGACGACGACTATTTCCTTTGATGTCCTTGATGACGGTATGTCTTAGGAAACATAATCAAACCTTGTTACTCTTGGGAACGGGCTTAAACGTCGCGTTCAAGATTAGTGTACTTGCACGTGTGTGTCCGTGTGTGTGTGTGTGTGTCCGTGTGTGTGTGTGTGTGTGTGTGAGTGTGTGTGTTTTGTGTGTGTGTTTTGTGTGTTTTGTGTGTGTGTGTGTGTGTGTGTGTGTGTGTGTGTGTGTGTGTGTGTGTGTGTGTGTGTGTGTGTGTGTGTGTGTGTGTGTGTGTGTGTGTGTGTGTCCAATACTATAAGACTCACTATTATCAAGCAGGATACATGAAGGGGTCACTGGATGTCGCGTCTTAGGCGACGCATTTCGTTGTGCAGAGTTGCTCGTCTTGGTGTGGTCAAATATCGACAACGTCAGTAAGCAATCAAGCATGTTTCTATGAAGAAGCATCTTTATCACTTACCTGAGAATGTTTTAAGAACATATTAAGAACATATTCGTTTGCGTCTATGCCACATTGAAGTTTCCACCATGTTACCGGTAATTCTGTTTTATATAATTATATAAATATATACTATTTCAAAGTTTATTGTTTTACCTCCACAGGTAGAATAGTTTTTTGTGATGCGTTTGGGGGTCTATGGATCCATGATCAGAACGTCACGTGTTTCAAGCTCTTGGACTGTCGTGAGGTCGATAATGGGGATCCGATGCCATGTGGGGATGTCAAGATCAACCGCTGTACCTCGCTTATCTACGTGGCCTACCCTGATGACGAGTGAGAATTCAGTATTTGGTAATTGTAAAAATATAGTGGCAGTGAGTTTCCTTTGTGCACTCTTTGATCGCGTTCTACAAAAACTATTATAAAACATTCCGACAGTCTGGATGATTATGACGTCTTTATACGATGGATGACGTCAAAACCTTCCACGACAACTGGTGGAATTGGTTTTAAAGTCAGTATACTGACTCCGAGATGACAAGTCCTTGTTTTATCCCCTCAGTACCTCGCGCCAGGCAGGGTAACAATTACATTGTATTATCTGTTAACGTCTTTTGGCTTGTATTAAATATAATGCTTGTCAAGAATATTGTAGTCCAGAAGATTTCTGGCCTTCGAATACAATTTGAATACAATAAGAAAACAATAGATGAGTAAGTGAGTGAATTAGGTTTAACGACGCTTTTAACAGTATTCCAGTTATATCACGGCGTGTCAGCTTAATGTGGGATGAAAGCCCGAAGTGATGGAGGGCTCAGCTGCAGGCGTTTTACCAGTTCGGTGAAACCCACGAGCACGGGTATGGTGCTGACAAACCTAGAAACATGATCGGGACGAACCGGAATTCGAACCCACAATCATAGGATTCTGGCGTTCCCAAGGGACGCAACTCTGCACAGCGAATCGCGGCACCTTAGACGACTCGGCCAACCTGCCTACAAAAAATGACGTTAGATGCAATTCCTTATTTTGGCGCCGGTGGCGTAGGGTACGCGAACACCAGGTGTTAGGTGTGTTTGAAAGTGATTCATAAACACCTGTTCATGATATAGTCAATCGACAATCGAGAGATTTCTTATGAATATGGAAAGGGTTTTGTCGCATTTATCATAATGTCAGTCACTGGTATGTCTGGTTCAGATGGGGCGGTCGGATAGCCTAGTGGTTGAGGCGTTCGCACGTCACGCCGAAGACCCGGGTTCGCTTCCCGACATGGGTACAATGTGTGAAGTCCATTTCTGATGTCCCCCGCCGTGATATTGCTGGCATATTGCTGAAAGCGGCGTTAAACCATACTCACTCACTCACTCTGGTTCAGACTCCGTCAAATATATGATTATTTATTACTTCATTGCCGCCCGATCTATTAAGCAGGTAGCGGAATAAGTCTTGTGAGCCCGGTTGATTTCCAGTTTGGTCATCTCTCACAACAAAGCATGATGTATAAGAACTACAATGGCAAAAGTACCCACTCCGTGGTGTAGTGTATAGAGCGTCTTCCCGGAGAGCGGAAGCTCGGTGGTTCTATCCCCTGGCCGCGTCATACCAAAAGACGTTAAAAGATGTTTTTTTATGTTACCCTGCCTGGCTTCCAGCATTAAAGGGATACAACAAGTACTTGGAGTCGGTATACTGTGTCTTGAGTAGGGTATTCATGTTGAACTGTGGCTTGGTATCTAAGTGGGCTTGCACAACAACATCGGCATTAGTCCGGACTAGTACAAGCAGCCACACACACACATGCACGCACGCACACACGCACGCACGCACGCACGCACGCACACACACACACACACACAAAAAAAAACACAAACAAAAAACACACCAAAAAAACAACAAACACACACACAAAACGCACACACAAACAAAATCAGAATGTATGACTATCAACATTATTATTACAGTTATTAGGATGAAAACATATTTCCGCTTGCAGGGTTCTCGTCATTTATAACTCGACGTCCTGTGATGAGGAAGGGACACTGACGTACACACCATCCGAACCAACGGGCTGTCCGAGTCTGGAGTTTAAACCAACCTGGTACGTACATGTATACGGTGAGACACAACAACAAACGGCGTTCTGTGTTGCCCGCAGAACACATAACACCCTCAAACATTATTATATATATGGTAATAATTGGATATTCATGGACAGATGTGATGACACGATTAAATAGCATGAACATTTAAAAGTAATACATAAGATGTGTTATTCAACCAATAATTGGATCTAGATGAGGTAAAAAAAGTATTAAATATTAACGGGGAAAAGTGACTGTGCTTCATATTAAGTTCGATAAAATATATATTTATTCTAAAATTAAATATTGTATATTTTAATACGTATTAAAAAATTGCACGTGCATGTTAATGCAGGGCGCACAATTTGGATGTTTGCGTGTTTGTTGGGACCACGAGTCGCCAGGCAGGGTAATAACAAGCACCATATTTTAACGTCTTTTGGTATGACGCGGCTGGGAATCGAACCCCGGGCCTTCCGCTCTCGGGCGGACGCTCTACCACAAGACCACGGGAGCGGTCGTTTTTAGGTGAATGGCACACACTGACTGTTCAAGTGTTCATAGAAACGCGTTTGTATAACGGTAAACCGCGCCACGCAATGCAACGGCTTACTGATAATCGGCGTCTGCGCGCCATGGGTATCCTGCAAATAGCAAACCGAAGTTGCCAGACATTTTAATACTCAACGAAACACAATATAATCTCTCTGGTGACGTAATCTACGGCAGGGGAACACTTATGAATGGCCAGGGGGCGGTGAAACAAGATTAGTTGAAAAGATAAAACAGTTTACTGTTCACAGATGAGTCCAGCTCTGATGGTCTCGCAAGGGTCTACAGGCGTCCAGGAGAACGTTTTAGCGACGCTTGCGTTACTCAACGCCGTTAGTTTGGGGATCGACGTGTAATGGTATGGGAGCGCCTCCGTGGTCTTGTGGTAGAGCGTCCGCCGGGAGAGCGGAAGGTCCGGGGTTCGATCCCCGGCCGCGTCATACCAAAAGACGTTAAAAGATGGTCTGAGTGGGGTATTCATGTTAAACTGCGGCATGTTATCTCAGTGAGCCAGCACTATAAATCGGCATCAGTCCGGACAAGTACAAGCAGACACACACACACACACTTGCAAGCACGTCGCTATATAAGTGCAATAATCTTGGACGCGACGTTAAACCCCATTTCACCTCACCTCATGATCACCTGTAATGGTATGGGGTGGTATCAAAACTCATCAGAGAACACAACTCATCACTGTTAATGGCAATTTGAATGGTGTACACTACCCGGGCGACATTGTTCGAGATCATGTTCTATCCTATTGTGCAAATGAAGGGACGTAACGTCACTTTGCAGCAGGATAATGGCCGCCCACCCATGTTGTAACAGACTCTTTGGGACAGCATAACATTGCTGTACTGCCATGGCCGGCTGTTTCCCAAGACCTCTCCCGCACAATATGTCTGGGATGAGACGGGAGGATGTCTACGACATGACCAGAACCACTCGGTAACGCTGGCTCAGTTGGGCCAATCTGACATTTGGAACAATATCCCCCTCGCCTGCATCAAAGCAAGCAGTGGTCACACCCGATACTGACAATGTTAGCTGAACTGTTACCACCCTACTTTTAGTGTGCGCGCTCTGTCCCCTGTTAACAGGTATGGATTTTGTCAATTGATTTGTCAAAACATTGATAAAACATCATTTTTTAAATTTGATGAAACATTGATAATATATTGTTATTTTTTATGACACAACATTTACACCACTAGTATGAAGCATATTTACTTTTTCCGCCAGTAGATATTAGAGAGTACCTTTGTATCAGGGGACTGCTAAATGCATTTACGTGTATCATTTACAAACGTGTTCGTTTATTACAAGCTTATCTTTTTTCTCGAACACCCGGCCCGGTGTCATCACTGATATTCGGTGATACATTTATTTAAGGATTCCTACACAAGTTTGAACATATGTTTTTCGATTCTTACCTCAATGAATTTAAACAAATACACAGTCAATCCTTATAATTAAATTCGACAACGAAAACATGTGTTATCTACAATAGTTTAATCAAAAACAGTTAAAATCTAAGCAGACAAAAATTGCGAGATTGATAAACATTTCAGGCGTAGGAATACATACCATAGCGGGACATGAATCAGATGATTGTTTGATTTATACACATATATAAGTGCCTAATCAACGAAGAATAGGATCAAAAACAGGTTTATAGGACCTGTCAATCAAGGCAAGGTGTGAAGAACTGCAACAGTCAGACTGTAACAAACTGGAACATATATGTCAAGTAGAAGGCGGCTGTTTCAAATGACATGGTATAATTTTCACCACTAGTTTTGCCTTTTACGCCTAGTGGAATCTGTTTCGGTGGATAAATGGGTGATTATTCTCTGGCGTTTTATATTTATAGCGTCTCGGACATGTCTTCAAGTGTGGAAGGATCAAACAGTCAAGGCGGGTCCAACAGTACAAGCACGAGTGGGTCTACAAGCACGGGTGGATCTGAAAGCACGGTTGAATCCAAAAGCATAAATGGGTAAAAGCATTGGTGGGTCTAAAAGCACGGGTGGGTCTAAAAGCACGAGAGGGATTTAAAGTATGGGTGGGTCCAAAAGTATGGGAGGGTCGAAAAGCATGGGTGGGTCCAAAAGTATGGGAGGGTCCAAAAGCACGAGTAGGTCTAAAAGCATTGGTGGGTCTAACAGCACGGGCGGTTCCAAAAGCATGGGCGGGTCCCAAAGTATGGGTGGGTCCAAAAGCATGAGTGGGTCCAAAAGCATGGGTAGCTCTAACAGTATGGGTGGGTCTAAAAGCATGAGTGGGTCTAAAAGCATGAGTGGGTCTAAAAGTATGGGCGGGTCCAAAAGCATGGATGGGTCCAAAAGCATGGGTGGGTCTAACAGTATGGGTTGGTCTAAAATAATGAGTGGGTCTAAAAGCATGAGTGGGTCTAAAAGTATGGGCGGGTCCAAAAGCATTGGTGGGTCCAAAAGCATGGGTGGGTCCAAAAGCATTATTTGGTCTAAAAGCATGAGTGGGTTTCAAAAGTATGGGCGGGTCTAAAAGCATGAGTGGGTCCAAAAGCATGGGCGGGTCCAAAAGTATTGGTGGGTCCAAACACTTTGATGGGTGATTTCTAAAGTATTGATTTGAAATCAATAAACCTTTCGAAAACTATCTTTGTGGTTTTTTTCCCAACTATAACACACTGTTATACAAAAAAATGTGTTTTATAATTATTGACGTTATTATTATTATTATTATTATTATTATTATTATTATTATTATTATTGACAGATTAAAATAAAAAATGCGGCAAAGAGAGTTTGGGTGATCCTGGCACAGTCAGGCTGGTTAGGCTCATCATCAGCTCAGGGCCCTTGCCCGCTCTTAACGCAGCCCAGACAGCGAATTGGACTTCCCAGGAATCGCTGCCTAGTCAAACCCACCCAGAACTTTTCGGAGAATGTGAAGACTCCCCAACACTGCAGCCTTCTGCATTACCCATATTGTCAGAAGGGTTGTATTCCTGGTAGCAAACCTGGGTACTCTCCCAATGTCAGTCAACAGATTGGGAGGTACCAAACCTAAGGCACCGAGAACAATGGGGAATCGGACAACTTGGTACTTGGGATGCAAACGTAACATTTCGAAAGCGAGGTCCGCATATTTGCCATTTTTTCCCTCAATCTTGTCAATCACATTAGTGTCAAAGGGGACAGAAAATTCAATGATATACATGATTTCATTGGATTTAGCAAAAAGAACAAGATCAGGTTTGTTGGCCTGGATACGTCTAAGGCTGTAAATCGGCTTATACCAAAGAGTTTTGTATTTATCATTTTCCATGACGCCATCTACATATTCCGCGTCGTACCATGGGTGGACCTCTGTGTCAAAACTACAAGCATGGCGAAGACGGTAATAAAATGATCGAGCTACACCATCATGCCGTTTAAGAAACTGTGTTTGTGCCAAAGCTGGGCATCCACTTACAGTGTTTTGGACAGTCTCATTAAATTCATCACATAATCTACATTTCATGTTTACATTTTGATGCAAAATCACACATTGACGGTTTCGACTGGGAAGTGACTGGTCCTGAGCAGCAAACAGAAAACCTTCTGTTTCACTTTTATTGCCAGACGACTCCATCCAAGCGAAGGACTCTGCAGGATTGCTAATCTTCTCAACACACTGCGCATAAACTCGATGCAGTGGTCGTTCAGATAGCCTATTATTATTAGTAGTAGTATTATTATTAATAATAATAATAATAATAATATTATTATTATTATTATTATTATCATTATTAATTTATTTATTTGTTGTTGTTATTATTATTATTATTGTTGTTGTTTAGGATCCATTTGTTATTTCGTTCAGCTCGGAGTGAGTGAGTTTGGTTTACGTCGCTTTCAGCAATATTCTAGCAATATCACGGCGGGGGACACCAGAAATGGTCATTACACATTGTACCCATGTCGGGAATCGAACCCGGGTCTTCGGCTTGACGAGCGAACACTTCAGCCACTAAGTTACCTCACCGCTCCCATCGCTGTAACAATGGAATATTCTATAGTAAAGGTTGCTTTTCCCACCAGGTTACTTGGATAACATTAACCAAGAGTACTTAAATCAATTATGGCAATATGTGGTCCTTCAAAACTCGTGAAAAATATATAATATTCGTCATTTCGACATGTTACAAAGTACATTTATAAAAAAAATTGTGCTGTGTGTCTTGTAGCTGTTAATACATATAGGGTCAAAAACCAAACCATAATGGTTCAACTGACAGCGACATGGGTTTTTTTCCATTGAGATTTATCTCTGACGATCAATTTGGTTTCCCATTATTTCAGTTTAATGTCCACTTTGATTTGAACTAAGAGGTGATAAATATTTTTAAGTAACGGAATTTACCCTGAATACAATATATAATAAATTAAAGGAAAAAGATAAAAAATAAATGGGTAGAGCTGGCAAAAAAGGTAGGCACAATAAAAAAGTTTTTAAAAAAGTCGTGTATTGTTCATTATCCAAACGAAGCCACACGGAGCGTCATAAAATCTCCTATCAGCAGTTACCAATATATATCAAGTTACGGAGCCTGACCACAAGATCAATTCAGCCCCTCTCTTACACCATCTTCCCGAAGCAAGCCTGTCCACTAGCATGTATCAAAGCCTAGTTTCTACATTTGCCATTTCAAGCCTATTTTTCTTGGCTCGGTCGCGGCGCCAACCAATGTAGAACACGAGTTGTGTCCCTTATGATGAAAACGCGCTATCCAATGAGATCGCTGTTCTTATTCCGAATGGTTCCACAACGATGACTACCAGACGACCAATTCGACCCCACAACGAAAACGAGTGGGTCTAAGAGTATGGGTGGGTCCAAAAGCACGAGTGGGTCTAAAAGCATGAGTGGGTCTAAAAGCACGACTGGTTCCAAAAGCATGGGTGGGTCCAAAAGCATGGGTGGATCTAAAAGCACGGTTGGGTCCAAAAGCATGAGTGGGTCTAAAAGCATGGGTTGGTCCAAAAGCATGAGTGGGTCCAAAAGCATGGGTGGGTCCAAAAGCATGAGTGGGTCCAAAAGCATGGTTCGGTCCAAAAGCATGAGTGGGTCCAAAAGCATGGGTGGTTCCAAAAGCATGGGTGGGTCTAAAAGCACGGGTGGGTCTAAAAGCACGAGTGGGTCTTAAAGTATGGGTGGGTCCAAAAGAATGAGTGGGTCCAAAAGCATTGGTGGTTCCAAAAGTATGGGTGGGTCAAAAAGCACGAGTAGGTCTAAAAGCATGAGTGGGTCTAAAAGTATGGGTGAGTCCAAAAGCATGGGTGGGTCCAAAAGCATGGGTGGTTCCAAAAGTATGGGTGGGTCAAAAAGCACTGAGGTCTAAAAGCATGGGTGGGTCTAAAAACACGGGCGGTTCCAAAAGCATGGGCGGGTCCATAAGTATGGGTGGGTCCAAAAGCATGAGTGGGTCTAAAAGCATGGGTGGGTCCAAAAGTTTGGATCGGTCAAAAAGCACGAGTGGGTCTAGTAGCATGGGTGGGTCTAAAATCACGGGCGGTTCCAAAAGCATTGGCGGGTCCAAAAGTATGGGTGGGTCCAAAAGCATGAGTGGGTCTAAAAAGCAAGGGTGGGTCCAAAAGCATGAGTGGGTCCAAAAACATGGTTGGGTCTAAAAGCACGAGTGGGTCTAAAAGTTTCAGTGGGTCTGAAAGTATGGGTGGGTCCAAAAGCATGGGTTGGTCCAAAAGTATGAGTGGGTCTAAAAGCATGGGTGGGTCAAAAATCATGAGTGGGTCCAAAAGCATGGGTGGGAACAAAAGCATGGGTGGGGCTAAAAGCACGAGTGGGTCTAAAAGTATGGGTGGGTCCAAAAGCATGGGTGGGTCCAAACGCATGGGTGGTTCCAAAAGTATGGGTTGGTAGAAAAGCACTGGGGTCTAAAAGCATGGGTGGGTCTAAAAACACGGGCGGTTCCAAAAGCATGGGCGGGTCAATAAGTATGGGTGGGTCCAAAAGCATGAGTGGGTCTAAAAGCATGGGTGGGTCTAAAAGCATGACTGGGTCTAAAATCACGGGTGGGTCTTAAAGCACGAGTGGGTCTAAAAGTATGGGTGAGTCCAAAAGCATGGGTGGGTCCAAAAGCATGGGTGGTTCCAAAAATTTGGATCGGTCAAAAAGCACGAGTGGGTCTAGTAGCATGGGTGGGTCTAAAAACACGGGCGGTTCCAAAAGCATTGGCGGGTCCAAAAGTATGGGTGGGTCCAAAAGCATGAGTGGGTCTAAAAGCAAGGGTGGGTCCAAAAGCGTGAGTGGGTCCAAAAACATGGTTGGGTCTAAAAGCACGAGTGGGTCCAAAAGTTTTAGTGGGTCTGAAAGTATGGGTGGGTCCAAAAGCATGGGTTGGTCCAAAAGTATGAGTGGGTCTAAAAGCATGGGTGGGTCAAAAATCATGACTGGGTCCAAAAGCATGGGTGGGAACAAAAGCATGGGTGGGTCTAAAAGCACGAGTGGGTCTAAAAGTATGGGTGGGTCCAAAAGCATGGGTGGGTCCAAACGCATGGGTGGTTCCAAAAGTATGGGTTGGTAGAAAAGCACTGGGGTCTAAAAGCATGGGTGGGTCTAAAAACACGGGCGGTTCCAAAAGCATGGGCGGGTCCAAAAGAATGAGTGGGTCTAAAAGTATGGGTGGGTCCAAAAGCATGGGTGGGTCCAAAAGCATGGGTGGGTCCAAAAGTATGAGTGGGTCTAAAAGCATGGGTGGGTCCAAAAGCATGAGTAGGTCTAAAAGCATGGGAGGATCTAATAGCACGGGTGGGTCCAAAATCATGAGTGGGTCTAAAAGCAGCGGTGGGTCTAAAATCACTGGTGGGTTTAAAAGCACGAGTGGGTCTTAAAGCACGAGTGGGTCTAAAAGCAAGGCTGGTTCTAAAAGCACGGGCGGTTCCAAAAGCATGGGTGGGTCCAAAAGTATGGGTGGGTCCAAAAGCATCGACGGATCCAAAAGCATGGGTGGGTCCAAAAACACGGGTGGGTCCAAAAGCATCGGCGGATCCAAAAGCATGGGTGGGTCCAAAAGCACGGGTGGGTCCAAAAGCATGAGTGTGTCTAAAAGTTTTGGCGGGTCAAAAAGCATGGGTGGGTCTAAAATCACGAGTGGGTCTAACAGTATGGGCGTGTCTAAACGCATGGACGGGTCCAAGAGCATGAGCGGTTCCAAAAGAATGGGTGGGTCCAAAAGCATGGGCGCGTCCAAAAGCATGGGCGGGTCCAAAAGCACGAGTGGGTCCAAAAGCATAGGTGGGTCCAAAAGCATGGTAGGGTCTAAAAGCATGAGTGGGTCTAAAAGTATGGACGGGTCTAAAAGCATGAGCGGGTCCAAATGTATGAGTGGTTCTAAAAGCATGGGCGGGTCCAAAAGTATGGGTGGGTCCAAAAGCATGAGTGGGTCTAAAAGCATGAGTAGGTCCAAAAGCATGGGCGGGTCCAAAAGCACGAGTGGGTCCAAAAGCATAGGTGGGTCCAAAAGCATGGCAGGGTCTAAAAGCATGAGTGGGTCTAAAAGT